ATGGAATATGTGGGCTCCAAGCGTGCCTGTGTTGAGAGCAGCCAGCAGGGAAGAAGCAAGGTGATCCATATTGAGGCAAAGGGCCCTGCAGGCTTCAAGTGGGTCTGCTAGGCTAGACTAGAAGCACGAGGCAGTACTGTAAGGCACTCCTACGGGGAAAAAGACATGAATACGATGGTCAGTGTGAGGAGCCACAAGCCCCAGAGGTCCACCAGCCAGTTTACCAGGCCTGAATCTGGGCTCAGGACTGCGGCAAGGAAGGTCAAGGGAAGGGAAGAGAGGCTGGTCTGCAGCTCAGCGGCCTAGGCGGGTATCTTACTGTGCAGAGTTGCCATAAGCGCCTGAATCTTCTACCTGGGTAACAACTGGCTTCACTGCAGACCTTCCTAACAAGATGGCATCTCTCTCTACAGGGAAAATCCAAACAAATCAGCAGCTGTCTTTTCACTCGGGGTTAACAGTGCCTTCCATCACCTTGGAGGCCACTGCAGGAGGAAAGGGCTCTATCGCATGATCCCTTGGAGCCCATTTAAAATAAAAGCCCTGACGGCTGTGGGTGTGCTTGAGACAGTGTTCCACACTTTTCTTCTGACTTTTGTCAAGGACTTCTGACAGTGGCTTGGGGGTATTGGTACTTCACTGTTGAAACACTGTCCCCCATGATAGAAATCACATTTGTCTGTTTAGATGAGCTGAGCAGGGCTTGTTCACCTGTCACTGGGTTCAAGTAGTGAAGTAGGGCAGTGAGTTCTACTAGACTAAGGATTGGAAGAACGGTGCAGAGGACACAACACTCGGAGCTGTTGTTAATGCCCAGGTGTTGGCAAGGACCAGGGAAAGGAAAACAGAGAGTGGTTCCAACGACTCGGTTCAGGCCAACGAGGGCACGTTGGCTTCTTTCAGTTTTGTCCCAACTCTCTACTTTTCTCACATTATCTTAGAGGAAGAAAAGTAGTGAGGCAGGAAACTCAAGCAATAAGGGGGTGGAGGGAACTGCACTTATCTCTGTTTACCGGGAGAAGTAAAAAAAATAAAAAGGAAAATCACCTTGTGTTGACTCCAGGCAGTATTAGAATTAGGACCTGAAGATTTCCTTCACAGTCTAGTTACTTCAGTCAAGAACAGCCGGTCAGTGGAGGTGAGGAACACTGCCTCCACACATCAACAGCAGCATTGGCTTAACCCTAAATTAGGAGCCGAGTGGATCTTGGCTTCCTCAGATCATGCCTCTCTTTGCAGAAAGTGCTCAGTGCATCTTCACGCAAGTCCTACCCTGATACAGTGATTTATGTGTGGTCCTTTCTGGCTCATGGGTAGAGACAAAGCCACAGGTCTGGAAGTCATGCCTTTTTGAGAAGGCATGGGAAGAAGCTATCCAGTGTCGGTGTGCAGGGCGTACAGATGCAGAGACAAAAACAGGCCGGACCCCGTGCAAGGGCACTCACTCCAGCTTAGCAGAGGTGGCCGACAGCAGCCACACCGCTGTGAACAGCTCGGCTCTCCGCGCAGCCGGAAGGAAGCCAGGCACAGTCCCTCAGCGGGGGTCCGAAGGACACCGCTGGGTTGGCTGGAAACCACAAATCCCAAGTCCTCACGATAGTCTCTTCTTGGTGGAGGCCTAGTCTGGAAGAATCCAAAAGTGACTGCCTTCTCAGCTCATCAAATATGAAAGCTCCTGGGACTACTCTTAAGCACAATGATCGTGAAGGCGACCATGATGCAGTCCCCTGAAAAGGCAATGAGGCGAAGGGGAAGACGGGAGTTTTACATGGTTTTCACATACAGAGCTTTCAACTTGGAGAAAGAGCCGCCCTGGAAAGAACACGACTCCCATCCCAGTTGACTGCTTTTTAAGTACTTTGTGGCCTTCCTGCCGTGGTGCAAACTGAGGTCTATTTTGGGAACTGGCTTTTTTACTGCAGGGTGAGATGCCAGTATTTCACCAGGCTTGCACTGTCCGACAGTTGAGTTTCTGGCACGGTGAGGAGGGATTTCCTCAAGTGATACACCAGGGAAGGGGCCTTTCAAGAGAAAAGAAGTTCCCCGGAGTCGGCTGCCAGCTCTAGGAGATTAATGGGCCATTTTCTCCTGGGCTTTATGTATGAGATATTTAATATGGGATGAAAAATGGACCACGAGGGAAAGCAGGTATTAGCTTAGGTCTTAAGGAGGTGGTAATCCACAGATCTGCTTTCGTTCCGACAGTTTCTAAGCAGTGGAACAATTACCTACGGTGCACCAAGTAATTTGTTAGGGTCGAAAACAGTAAGGGCGTTCAGGTGTGCGCTAAGGCATCCTGGGTTGAAAACAGCAATTTTGAATTTTCGTGGCAGACCCAACTGCTAAGCTGGCTCTGCCCTGTCCGTTCAGGTTTGCGGGTTGGTGGCTGCGTGTGTCATGTAGGCCTGCGGCTGGCACCAGCCAGGCTGTCGGGGCTTCACAAAGAGGAGGGAAACGGGCTGCTGGGGTATGCTTCCAGCTCTGGTAGCTGATGGTGAGAGCACATTTACTATTTTTTTTTTTCCCCTTTCGAAAATAAGCAACAAACGATGTGGGTGGAAAGGTCTCCTTAGAGGTTCACAGGGACTGCCAAGATTCTGCCGGGCCTCGAAACAACCTTGGTAAAAGCCAAGGCCTCGGGAGCACAGACCCAGAGTGTCACGCTGACTCTCAGTGGGTCTGACCCTGGGGCCTGTGAGACAGGACAGGAAATTCTGTTCATGCAGCCAACATGCTGGAAGGGGGGGAGGTGGCCCTGTCCTCCGGGTCTCCAACTGCAGTGTGCTGGGGATGGCCCTGCTGACAGTCGGAGTCACAGATGCATTAATTACAGCAAAGGCAGAGGTAAGCTACAGCGACAGGGAGCTGGGGGCGGAGGGAGAAGGCACTTTGCCATTGGAGCACATCTGTTTTATAATAAGCAGGTCTGTAATTCTCTTGTGAAAGATCACGTTTTGCTATCTTCTCTGAGGCTGGAATATATAAATACTGTATTTCACAAAGGGGCAGAGTAAAGGGGAGATGATCAAATTTGTTTGCCTGTTGGCCAATCGCTTGTTTGAGATCTTCCACCCTTTTCTTTCGTGTGTAACAGTTTCTATAGAGTGGGGTGGGGCGGGGAGAGGGAGTCAACTTGTTTTTCTAAGAGTAAAAGACACCATAAGGCATCGCATGAATGGGGCCCCGGCCTTTTAATAAGTTTTCATGCCTTGGCTACAGCTACTGTATAATCAGAAGATAAATGCACGAGTGGTGCTGAGCTATTAACGTTGAAATGTGTGGTCTGGGGCCAAAGGAATGGGTATGAGTTGAGAGGTGAAATGCTCGTACCCAACAGTCTGCACAGAAGTGAGTCTGAAATGTCACATCTCCAAACGGACAGAAGCGTCGTGAGCTAGGATCGGAGGGAGCCAGGTGTGGGGAAAGGAGCAGTGGGGTTAACCGTCCCCATGGGCTGTGGGAACACTGGTTCTCTAGGTCCTGCTAGGAGTGTAGCTACTAAACCATGGAGGCTTTGAAGGCATCTGCTCAGAGGAACGGTAAGAATCTTCTCATATAACCTACTGAGAATTGCTTAAATATAAGCTTAGTTTTTGGTTCTGGAAAGAGTTAAGGTGGAAGGAATGCGAGCCATGCTTTCTGGTGCCAAGCTATCTGCCATTTTAGTCACCGTGGCCACTGCCAAAAGGATGATGCAGAGGAAGAATACCCCCGGCCAAGTGCCTAAGCAACTCATTCTCACTTTTATTCCCTATTAGCTTAGCACTTTGCACCTCACTTCACGGTGGCAATGATGCATGTGTGTATATATATATATTTAAATAATATTAGATTTAATTCCTTAATTATATTTGTCAGTTTGGTATTTTCTTCATAGTCTAAAGTTGGTACTGTGAAATTCCAAGGTGCTCTGATTTTTCAAAACAATTAAGAAAGTATGAAAGCAGACGTGGTGACATTGACAAATGAAAGGTCAGAGTGAAAGGGCAATGAAGAACAATAAAAATAAATAAAGTGTAATGAATAGGTGGAAACTACCCACACAGGATTCTGTGAAAAGAAAACTGCAGATCCTCTCTTGGAATGTGTGTACTCTACACCCGACCTCCTGGTCTACAAACTGATGTATTTAACAATCCTAAGCAATTTCCTCCAGTCAGCGCCATTAAAAAAAAAAAATCATCCTGTCACCCATGGAACTCCTAAGAGTCTACTCTTCAGGGCCATGTTTCCAGCCTGGCAAATACAGTCACATCTCTGGGCGGGTGCTGGGATTCGTACCAGCAAACAGACGGACAACATGTAGGTTACTGAGGTCTCTTGTCAGGAAAAATGCTTTCTGAGATTAACTTCAGAACAATTTATCTAGCTCCGCTGATAAATTAGGGACACACGCTTTCTGTCAGAGGGAGCTCACGCTCCTGACTCCCGAGCTGTTTAACTCAGCTTAGGGATCCCAGCCTTTGCGAAGACACGGAGGTGAGAGCCGGGACATGGACTCCTGGAAGGATCCAGGAGTCACTGCTGTGTTTTGAAGCTTTTCTTATGAAACTTGATGATGGGTGCTTGCCTCAGTTACCTCATCCTCTGTGAAGGCTAAAAATAAATAACACAAAAATAACTCAAAGCACTCTTCTGGAGAAAATGCTTTCTCCTATCTCCTGGGTAATAAATGGCTCCTGAGAGCCCCACAATGTCTGAACTATAAAGCCTTGTGTGTAAACCACGTTTGGCTTGGGGGCAAAGCAGCTGAAATTCATGGCTAAGTGTAATCCCGCTATTGGTAACTTCGTGAGCCACAAAACTCCATGGACCTTTAAGACAACGACTTATACTGAATAGGACGTATAGGTATGTGTGCATGTACATTTATAAATATATATATCTAGCTGAGGATGAGACGTTAACTTCTCCCGGAGGGGTCTAACTGTCTAGTTTGGAAGCCACTGGGGCTGATGGATTGTTGAGAGGTCACCGCCCGGCCTTGGACTCCTGCTGAGTCAGGTGTTCTGGTAGGACAGCTCAAACATGTTGCAAGCCTCCTCCAGGCTCTCGTCCATGTTCAACCTCCGCCAGAAAGACTTCTGCTTCATCTGCAGCTCTCGGCGGACACATCGCGGGCAGGGGACAGACTTCTCTTTGCATTCAGCATGGAAAACAGCTCCACAGCTTTCACACCTGCAAGAGCCAACCATGGAGATGATGAGTAAGGTTGAAGTGAGCGGGGCAGGAGGCTGGAAGTCCAGACCTCTGCACAGCTCAGGTCACAGCCTTTTATTCCTGACCCCTCGAAGAGATGTGACTCATAGAAGTGGGTTCTTTCCTTTTCCAAAAGACTCAAGGTTGAATTTCATTTGAAAAACATGTGTTTTTTTTGTTTTTGTTTGTTTGTTTTTTCTGATTATAACTAGTTGGAGACAGGCTTATGTTTTCCGGGTGGAGGGGAGTCAGCAGTCAGTTAGCAGTTTTGTGATCATGGTTATGACGGACAGCTCTAGAAGCTCCATGTGTTAGCTTGACTGAGAAAGAGGTGGGGGTAGTGACTCTAGGGTGAAGTGACAGAAAATAAGAGTGCCCTGCCAACTGAAAACACCACCAACACCAGCAACAACCCGTGTCACAGCTGTGAAAATGTGGCCTTCACTTCCGCTCAAAAGAGCCAAGTGGTTCCCTGTTACTCCCTACCTTTATTTGACACTTTGGAAAGTGTCAAAATGGCATATTTTCAATTTCTGAATGATAGACTGTGGTCTGTTGCTCTTTTGAGTTTTGTTTTTTTAAATTAGAAACTCCCTCAAACCTTTCTATATCTAGCTTCATAACACACGTGGGAACAGTAAAGCATGAGAGAGTGGGGGAGAGATCTTGTTTTTTAAGAAAAACAAAAAACACACAAATACTGTAATTTATAGAGAGGAGACATTCCAGGTGGATGATGTTGTTGGCTTGGTGGAAGCCTGTAGGAGTCTAAATGCCTTGTTTTTATTGCAAAGCCTTTAATAATGAGTAACTGACAAGCTTCCCTGGTGGCTTAGATGATAAAGAATCTGCCTGCAGTGCAGGAGACCTGGGTTCAATCCCTGGGCCAGGAAGATCCCCTGGAGGAGGGCATGGCTACCCACTCCAGTATTCTGGCTTGGAGAATTCCATGGACAGAGGAGCCTGGCGGGCTATAGTCCATGAGGTTGCAAAGAGTCAGACATGACTGAGTAACACTTTTCTCACTTTCAACTGACAAGCACAACTATAACTGCTCCAGTGGGTGGCTTGCCAGTGAGGATTAAGTTCTCATCCTTCCTCACGTAAGTGGCAACCAACTAGGACCTCATCCCAGGAGCCCAGGGAACTGGGCCTGTGTGATTTTGCTCCACCGGCAGTGTCCACGCAGGTTCAACGATGGCTGTGAAGGAGCCAGCCGTCAGGGCTCAGCCTTATGCCTCCTACTTTTCTTTGGGTTTCAGACCTGGGTGTGGGATGGTCTCTGGAGCACCACTCCCTGGCCTGCCATTGGCTCAGGATTCAGAAAGTTTGGTCAAAGGAGGATCTTCCCACCCACCCTGGTACCCAGGAGAGAAGGCAGGGACTTAAGAGGGAGAGGCACTAGTGTGTGGGGAGGGGCTGTATCTACCAGCTTAAATCTGTATCTATCTTAAATCTGATAAATCTGTATCTATTGATTAAAAGACAGAAGCTTCACTGTACCCAGAAGTCTCTACCTCCAGCCCAGCTATCTGGCCTAAATACTGCATAGCAGTGGTTAGTAGGGCAGGCAGAGTGAGATGGCCTGATGCCAATCCACATTCAAATCACATTCTGCCTACAGGACTGCCATGGATGGAGCTGTGTGCCCCCCAAATTCCTATGCTGATGCCTCAACCTCCAATGTATCTGTATTTGGAGATGGGGTCCTCAGGAAGTAATTTAGGTTCATTGGAATCATAAAGATACGTCCTGATCTGATATTTGTGTCTTCTTAAGAAGAGAACTAAAGAGGAACTAAAACAGCCTCTTGATAAGGGTGAAGGGTGAGCGTGAAAGAGCCAGCTTAAGACTAAATATTAAAAAAACTAAGATCATGGCATCCGGCCCCATTACTTTATGGCAAATAAGAGGGGGAAATGGTGGAAGTAGTGACAGATTTCCTCTTCTTGGGCTCTAAAATCACTGCGGATGGTGACTTCAGCCATGAATTGCTTCTTGGCAGGAAAGTGATGACAAACCTAGACAGTGTGCTGAAAAGCAGAGACATTACTCTGCCAACAACGGTCCATGTAGTCAAGGCTATGGTCTTCCCAGAGGTCACATACAATTGTGAAAGCTGGACTGTAAAGAAGGCAGAACGCCAAAGAATTGATGCCTTTGAACTGTTGTGCTGCAGAAGACTCCTAAAAGTCCCTTGGACAGCAAGGAGATCAGACCAGTCAATCTTAAGGGAAATCAACCTTGAATACTCACTGGAAGGACTGATGCTGAAGCGGAAGCTCCAGTATTTTGGTCATCTGATGCAAAGAGATGACTCACTGGAAAAGTCCCTGATGCTGGGAAAGATTGAGGGCAGAGGAGAAGAGGGTGTCAGAGGATGAGATGGCTAGATGGCATCACCGATGCAATGAACATGAACTTGGGCAACTCCGGGAGATGGTGAGGGAGAGGGAGGCCTGGCATGCTGCAGTCTATGGGGTCACAAAGAGACAGACATGACTGAGCGACTGAACAACAACAAGAAGGACAACTGAGAGCCCCTTCTCTTCCCCTGCCTGTACTCGGAGGAGAGGCTATGTAAGGACTGAGGCAGGAAGGCAGCCGTCTGCAAAGCAGGAAGAGAGCTCTGGCCAGAAACCAAGCCCTGCTGAGCCCTGACCTGGGACTTCCAGCTGCCAGCACTGTAAGAAATAAATCCAGTCTGTGGTATTCTCTATGACAGCCAGAGCTGACTAAGAGAGTGACCTTGAGGAAGTTACTTCACTTCCCTGAACTTCAATTTCCTTATCTGCTAAGTTGGGTTTCCATTAACATGTACCTCATCTGGCGCTGTGTGGCTCCAACGGGATCACAGATACAGTGTTTGCACAGTTCCTGGCACCTGGTTAACACTTAATTACACAGCTGAGATGGCTTCTTCAGTGTCAGCAGCTACCTGCTGCCTTCCTGCAAGTCTTCATTTCAGCCTGATTTCACCTATGCCACCGTGGTGACCTGAGGGCACTTTGATCAACCCCGTCACTTCAGAGAGAGGAAGACTGAGGTTCTAAGGGGGATGGTAGTAGCTGTCTCACGAGGACACAGTGAGTAAAAGCCAGGGCGGAGACGAGAACCCAGGACTCCCGGCAGCCCAGCCAACGCTTGTACCTGAGGCCTGCCTTCCTAAGTGAGAGTAGTGTGTGATCACAGAAGGACACGCGGGGCTTCAAGTCAGAATCCTTGTGTCCCAATCTCAAATCTTCCTCTGAGTGACCTTGGGCACGGAATTTATATTCTTGGTACTCACAGTGACTTCCTTCCTAGTCAGTGGGGTTCTCAGACGGAAATGGGTGGATGTAGGTGGAAGGGCTGGTCAAATGGCAAGTGGTTCGAGGAGCAGGCGAGGGGGTACACCAGCTCCCACTGTGACGGCAGCACCTGCCTTCTTGCCTGGAGCTGCTGGGCTGCCCACGTGGTGGGGCCATCCTTATCATCGCCCTGGCCTCAACCCCTCCCTCCTTCCCAGGGAGAGTGCAGGCGGGGAGTGAGGGGCAAATGCAGGTGTCCTAGCGCCTCTCTGGTCTGGCCGGCTCCTCCCCGGTGGCCTGTCCTCGGTGGGTCACACCTCTGTCACCTCCTACTACCGAAGGGCGATGAATGATAACTTTATTTAATAAATTTCCTCCTTCCTGCCTCCTCTATCCTGCTGAGTTAGTCCATGACTTACACACCTAGGGATGTTACCCCAGGGAATGGCTGATAAGGAGACAACCCTGGGTTCCTGCAGTACCACGCCCTGTCTCTGCTGACACCCCTCTCCCACCCCACTGTGAGTGGAGAGGTTGAGTCTTATCAGATATTTCTGGTGCAACAAACACCCATGGGGTGACGCAGGGACCAAGTACACCTGCTCTTTCTAGCCAAAGGTCACTAACTGGGAAAAAAAAAAAAGTGTAAGATAAAAAATGAATGATTTCAAAATAGAACCAAGTCCTATTTTTTCTAACAATCTATAACCAAGCAGGCATCTTTTGACCTGTATAAGTGGATAGACTTATCGATGACTTTCCCAAATTCAGAGATTGTAGTGTTAAATTTTCCCCCTGACCCTCCCTTTACAGAAAAGGAACAAGGGCAGGAGAAGGAAGGAGGGAGAGAGACTCTCACATAAGAGTTATCAGCTCTGTAGTAAAAATGTAGTGTCCAGGAAAAAATATTTACATTAAAAATGCAATATGTAGGTATTCTTTTCTTTGAGAATAGGACTTTACTAAAAAGGACCTTTCACACTAAAAAGATTCATTGACCCCTTAGTTTTTACTGAATTTCCTAACTGTATTAAAAATACAAAATACAATTAAACGTAACTTTTAAGGAACATGTCTTTTTTATAAGGCAAAGCTACCAATGTATTTGTCTGGGTAGAAAATTGCTACAGATGATGAAAGAGCAACGTCCCTTTGGCATTCCTCGGTGATAGAGCAGGTGAAAGCCAGCACCTTCATTTCTGAGTCATCCAGTCCAGCAGTCAGCAGTTTTTTGGATGCTGCTGCGGCCCCTGGAGAACAAAGGCCACGTGGCCTCCCTTTCCAGTGTCACGTCATGGAGGATGTGACCGCACAGACATATACTGGCTATAACCAGGGCCGTGCAATAGATTTTCCTATTTTTTCCTTGAAAGCATGCACTGCTTCACTTAGTCCAGGGGTCTCAGCCTTGGCACTAATGATGTTTGGGACGTACAGTCCTTTGTTGTGTGGTGCTGTTCTCAACACTGTGGGCTTCCCAGGTGGCGCTAGTGGTAAAGAATCTGTCTGCCAATTTAGGAGATGCAAGAGACATAGATTCGAACCCTGGGTCGAAAGATTCCCCTGGAGGAGCAAATGGCAATCCACTCCAGTACTTTTGCCTGGGAAATCCCATGGACAGAGGAGCCTGGTGGGCTACAGTCCATGGGGTCGCGAAGAGTCGGACACGACTGAGCAGACACACCACCA